ATTTCCCAGAAGCATCTTCGGCGCATATACCCGCTACATTACCCGCTTTCTCATAGCTACCTTCACCTTGCCAACATCATCAGCTAACAGAGAAGATCGATCTTCTGACATTTCACAGTTCTGTATCGCATTTTTCTACATGAATATGAACGGGCGGAAAAGAGAGGCATCAATAGCGGCTCATGGTCCAGTCGACTCCGCCAATAGCGGGACTCCCCTTGCGACTCCTCACCCGACCAATATGGAATTCCTCCCAGCAATCGCCTCCAGTCCGTCAATTCAAGGATTCTTCAGCTGCAGCTTCACTTACACACAGGAACTGAAGCTTTTTTTTCTTCCTCTGCCCAATAGAAATGATCTTCTCCAATCGCCTCTCCGCTAACAGCGTATCCCCTCGTCGCAATGTAACCCTCTTCTGAAGTACCAAGAAAGCTGGATTCGACTTCAGGCATCCCGGCAATACAGGACGAGTGCGCGGCTGACTCTTATTGCGCATATTTGTGATAAGTATTTGTGGTAACTTCACCTGCACGTTATATAATATAAAAAGGGCGAACACCTTAAGGACAAGAGTCACACCACTAATTCACTAACCACACAATCCTTTTGAATATCCATGAGTAGAAAACCATAGCTAAGATAGCGAAAAAATTGAAAGGGGGTTTCATTTTAACAAACGATGGCACTCAAATGGAGCTTTTGGCAAATCAATGGTGATTTCAGATAAATGAAGGCTAGTAGTAGTAAAAATGATTTCAGTGATTCGTTCATACCTGCGTGGTACCCATTGAATCTCTATTTTCAATATTAAAACGAGCTACAGGTGGAGGTGGCGAGAAAGTATACTGCGGCTCTTTGGGCATTCCAGTCGGTACATCGACCTAAAAGGATTCATCGCCGACCGTGTAAACCATTGAAAAATCGTCATAAGAAAGCAAAAGATATACCAGTACAAAAACTAATCAAACCAAACCAGAAGAAATTCCACAGGTAGAGGACGAGCATCCTTGAGAACTTCTGCACCGTATTGATTTTTCTCCTGCAATTATTGCGACAAAATAGGACGGACGGACTGTAACCCAGATACTCACTGCAACTGCAATCATGTCGGTAAATTAGCATAACCTACAGTAAACTGGACATCTGTCAAGTACTGCGATTCTGTAAGTGGTTTTTCTCTTATGTACGCCAATTCAGGATGATTTGTTGGACAGAGAAGTTGCGCCTCAACCAGAGCTGTGCACTGATTTGAAACCTGGAATTTCATTATATTCTGCATGACTGCCTCGAAACTGAATAAGAAAATTAGCGAGCGCACTTACTTGGTATCCATGGAAGTTTACTTGCTCTTGTTCATCTCCACTTGCAACTACTGTGACAACTTCGAGCCGAAATATCGATCGGAGCAATATTCAGTGACGTTTGGATATAAGGACTGGAGATATCCTGCCGTTATGCACTCCTCAGCAGACAAGAAAAACGCGTGCTGAATAGTCATACGATAGTTTACCTAAGCTATAAGAGCGAATCTCAAGCTCTATAGCCTCCTGGTTCATTTCAACATACTTCTCCATAAGAAGTCTTTATGCTATAACCTCCCACGAATAAAAAGAGTCGTGAGTTTTATTTGCTGTTGTTTGCAGACTGAATACGAATGAACAAAACACCATGAATTACGTGTTGATAAATGTAAGGCAGCAACGTCGAGAACCGCGCGCCGACCGAATGTGAAATTCAGCCTATGTATTCCACATTCATCGCCAGTCAGAACGAAATATGGTGGAGAAGTGAGCCCAAGATCTAGTAGGTTTTTCTAATACAGGAGAAGGTAGCATAAAGAGGGATCTTCACACAAATTAATTCGTCGCGCCGGCACCGCACTCTCGCGCAAGCCGCGATCGCGCGCAAAAATTGTGCTCGATAGCGTCAGTAAGGCAATCAATCTTAATATGGTGCGCAATCGGAACTAATAGTGAGAGCGACATCGCGTCATGACTTTGTGCTAGACGTCTGCGGGAGAGAATGCGAATCGGTTGAGACGTGTATGTGAGAACATCATTCGAGCCTATACACGTGATGACGGGCAAGCACTTTCCTGACCAATGATGGTTAAAACGAAGGGGAAATCAATCATGCCGCGAGCACGGATGTGTTTGCGTAAATTATAAGCAGCACAAATCTTACCTTGTGCCTTGTGCAATGCACAGTTCCTTTTACCCGATCAGCAGACCAAAGATCGGTGAAGATCCATCCAACACGCTTCAATCCTAGCCAGTTACAAAGCTGATCCACTGCCTGAATGAAAAAGAAATAGCCTAGAAAGAAGTGGAGAATTTTACCAGTATATTACATCTTCGTGAGGATCGTCAAGCAGTTGTACTCCATCAGGAGAGCAACTTTGAGGAGGTTCATAAATAGCTGCAACGGTGGCTTTTATACCGAGCGGGACGTCCGAGAATGGTTGATATCTAAACTAATTTAACTTCGAGAGCTTGAGTAATACAACGAGGAACAAAGAAAAACGAATGTACCTACTTTCCAATGAGATAACCGATTCGTTGATTTCCAGTCGTTCGCCAAAAATTTAAGAAATCATTCACAATGTCTTGATTTTCAAAAAATATGTTGTCGACGTGACGATACTTCTTAAAAGGTATCAGACAATTACAAGAGCACTAACGAAAAGCTGAAGTATACCATTGAAGAATGAATTTTCGACCAAAACTATGCTTTACAACGAGCCGAAAAGCGTTAACAACAGCGCCAACACGTGACAAAACCCTCCTTTCTTATGCGATACCCCCTGGGTAGGGGACGGGGATGGGTAAATGTTGGGGAGGTTCGTCGCAGGACCCACTGGGCAAAGGTCGCACCTTTGATTTTGCAGCTTTGTTTCCATCCTTTTACTGTTTCTGATTGTATATTCGCACGTAAATACCTTTCTTTACACCAAAAGCAGCGATGAAAGAATGGAAACAAAGCTGCAAAATCAAAGGTGCGGCCGTTGCCCAGTGGGTCCTGCGACGAACCTCCCCAACTTTACCCATCCCCGTCCCCTACCCAACATTCAGCATACGGCCCCTATAGAGATCGCGCACCATGTGGCTTCTTGCGAACGAGACGGTGAACAATGCTTCTGACCTGGCGATTCAATGTCATCACTGGCGGTTTGCACTTCGTACATACTCCTTTCGGATACGGTTTGTGGAGCAGGGCAGTTCAAATCAATAGTACAACTGAAGAGGAGCAGATTTAAATCGCAGTACTCAGATAACAAAGAAAATGAATAAAATTTTGATTGCAATAAACGAACAAAAACAAATGCTGAAGCAATACCGTATATTCTCTAACGGGCGTTTTAACTGTGAGCCTTTGCCATGCCCCGATGTGAGTTTCCGTACATGTGCGTGGAAAGACATATGTTTGATATCCTTAGACTTTAGGTAGTCTTCATCATATGGCTGAAATATTGCAAATAATCAAGAAAAGATTATAAGAACATATTGTGCTTTTTTGTATTTTCTCA